CTCTGTGGAACTTATCTGGAGTCTTAAAAAAAATTATTGTATTATGAGATTTAAAGTTGTATCACTAAAATATATCAAGAACTTATAACTTCTATTCACCAAATAAAATTTACATGAACATGCTTGACGATGCCAGTACACACATAAGCCTGACATCAACTTTGTAGCCCGTCCTCTTTTTTCTTTGCTTTTCCTACTTTTTTGAACTTGGAATGCTAAAATGATCCTTTTTGCTAGGGACATTTAGATATTTCTTGATATTTGACTAATGTTCAACTAAAACACCTTCAGTGGCCTCTAAAGGAAACAATGTGATTCTCTTCACATTTCTTACAGAATTTGTGTGCTTTTTTTTAAAAAGCAAAATCATTGGTTTTTTAGACTTCTAAGCTCTAACCGTAAGTTGCCTGTGCTCCTGAGAAGTGCACCACAAATATTATCTTTGCCTGTTCATAAGTGGAACACGTATAAGCATGGTTTGACTGACATGAAGTTGATGAATGTCTCTCTGCCTTATAAATTTACCTTTTTTCATGTTACAACAATCTGACCTTTGCAAATCTTTTTTATAGCACTTGACATCTTTTTTTCCCTGAAAACTTGATAGTTTCCCCCTTTTGGCTACTGCAATTTTATTTATTTTCTGGCTGATAATGTTCTTTAAGTGTTCATTGATTTATATGAATTGGATGCTTAATATTCTTAGTGTTTGGATCATATTGCATGATACTGAATGATTGTCTAAAGTAGCCAATCTCTTGCAGCAACTTATTTTAGCAGCAATTGATCTAGTAGATGCTAATTCAAAGACAGGCGGTTATTTAGTATATTCAACCTGCTCCATGTTGATTCATGAGGTTTGTGAAGCATTGAATGGTTAAAGAGATTTATTTAAATATTCATCTGCTGATTTTTATCTTTCTATTCCATTCTATTTGTAGAATGAGGCAATTATAGATTATGCGCTGAAAAAGAGAGATGTGAAAGTCGTGCCATGTGGATTGGACTTTGGTCGCCCAGGGTATGTTCAAATAGATGTTTAATGTTTGCTTGAATGGCAGTCTAGAACAGTCAGTTTTATTCTAATGAGTATTTGTTCAGATTCATACGGTTCAGGGAACATCGCTTTCATCCATCATTGGAGAAAACAAGGCGGTTTTATCCACATGTAAACAATATGGAAGGATTTTTTGTTGCAAAGGTACATTTTTATCTTGCAACATGTTTACAATTGAATAGTTACAAGTTCAAATATGTATCATGAATCTGATTATCAGTCTTTTCACTGTGATGCTTTCTTGATGATTTAGAGCTGAAGTGTTTTCTTACAATTTAACGACTTACAGTAGGTGGCATTACAATTGACAAGATAGTGATTAACATCTGAAACAGTTGTCTGGTAAAATGAAGAAACATGCAGAATCTAAATTGCTTTTGTGCTTATCAATACTATGAGTGAAGAAAATGGTTTATTAGCTTGAAAGCCCATCTATCAATATGTTGTGCACTTTACTATATACATTTACATGCCCATCTGTGGTGCCATTGGTTTTGATCTTATTATGATAGAATCACCTTTCAAATTCTTAGTAGTGGAATTTTTCTTGGGGTTCTTGATCTATGCCTGTGGGCTTACTGTGTCGTATCATAAAATTCTTGTCCAATTTTTCTTTGATCCCCTGAGATTTTTTACAAGTCCAGCCATTGTTCCTTGTGATCTAGTATTTTCATATATCGATGTGCATACACTAAAACCTTATCGTAAATGCTTTACTATTCACATCTTCCATCCCAGCCCTTTGTCTTGGGCTTAAGAGTTAGACAAATTGGGTTCTAGTTAAACCAAACTTTAAATGTTTGTCATGAGTTATGTGTCATAAGCAATGGTGATATAGGTTGAAACTCCATGATTTTGGAACATGACTCCGTAATTTCATCATTGCTATTTACAGTTGAAAAAGTTGAGCAATTCCAAACCAGTAGCAGCCTCTCAACCCAACCAAACTTCAGAAGTGGAAAATGAAGCAGCTGTTATTGATGGCAACAAGGATTCTCAAGAAACCCCAAATGGGAAACCTGAACAGCTTAAAACACCAAAACATGCAGGGAAGAAAAATAGAGAATCTAAGAGTGGTGTCCAGAGTGATGGAGTAATATCAACTTCATCTAAGAACCAGGCAGGGAAAAAACGGAAGCTTTCATCTAAAGAGAAAGTCACTGACTCAAGGTAAGGCTTCACTGAACGCGCAATGACATTTTCTTTGTGAATCAAGATATACCAACTAATGAGTAGCAAGAATAGTGAGTTTTGTTCCTAGTACGTTGATGTTGTTTTGAAACTGTATGTTTATTGATGACAGAGAAAAGAGAAGGAAGGCCCTGAAAAAGAGAAAGCCGAAGGAAACCCGATAATATGGTGGTGGTTTACTAGCTGTCTACAGAACTCAGCCTGGGAATAGCAAGATGAACCAACGAATTTGGTAAATGACGCAAGCAAGTTTAGTCTGATATGAGGAGCTATAACGGCTGCTTAAGATGGGGATCTTATGTTTAATTGTGCCTGTCATTTCTTCACACCATGGAACAATCAGTGATCGGTGTGGCTTTACGACACATACCGAGTTACATTTGACGGACAAGTCTGGTGGTGAATGGTGCAAATTTTGACTGAATTGAGTTATACTGGTTGCCTAAATGTGGTATTCCTCTTATTTGTAATATTTCTTGTTCTAAGATTGTTTATGCTTGTTATTGGAAACAACATAGTGATCTTTGTACCGCCATGCTGATTTTTATGGTTAACACTTGTTAGGGTACACATCTGTTTTCCATTTCATGGATTATATCTACAGCAATGCTAAGCTACAACACATCAAAATTCAGTTCCATTCTTGGTTTGAAGGGAGTGATACAATAAGCTCCATCGTGAGAAAGTGTTATTGTTTTAAGATATGTGAATCTCTTTTTAATCTCCATTGAGGGGCAGCGGAGAAGAAAACTAAAGCACAAAGACTGAACTCTTTAGATAATCCTCAGAGAATTCATTAGTCTCTGAACTCGTATGCCAAATCACGTTTGATTGCCACAAGTCATAGCCTCTTATGTCCAGCAACGTGCATCAGTATCAGCCACTTAAATTTGGATTTGGCTGGAGAAAAGAAGCAACAGTAATGAAGATATTATTCTCATAAGAACATGCAAGCACTTCAAGAGAGTGCTTCATTGGATCCTCCAATCTTGTCTTGAGACATTGGCTGTTTGCAGCTTGCTGAGCTTGTTTAATTTGCATGATGGCCTCCTCTCCTTATATTATTATTATTATTATTTTATCATGCATATGCCAGAATCTATCTAATTGATCCTCCTGAGAAGTCTTCTGTCAATGTCTGGCAACTTCAATGTTAGCATCTTCCACTTAAACAATTACTGTGAGCTTTCTCCATCATAACCTTGGTCAGCATGCATTGCTGTCCTAACCTAACAGTTAATGGTGCCAATCCCAAGAACTAGTTTATGCTTTCATAGTCTCATCCTGCAAGAGGACTGGAGCATGCCTTGATTGTGATTTGGGTGTAGGAGAAACTTAATCAAGCATCACACATCCATTTAGGCTTCAGCAAAGTTTCATGGTTGCATCATCTTACAGGAACTGAGTCGCCTTGCAATGTATTCTCAGAAGTCTCTGTCTCTCGTTCACAATCCAAAGTCTTTACTTGGAAGAGCCATTTCCAGAGTGCTGCTGCAGTGCAGCATATGCAGTGCACATGCCTCCTGCAGGTAGCACACAAAGAGAGTTATTTTATGGCACAAATTTTGGAGCTTTTACAGTTCTGGGTGAGGTTTAGGAGATTCCCAACAAGACGAGACCCATGTGCTTCAGCTCATCTCCCTATGCATAGGCTTCATGAGGTTTTGTTTTGTTATCTTAATCAATGGATCAAAGACAGCACTGCACTTGCTCTCTAGAAGACCTTGTTGTAGACATCATGATCTGATCTATCCCTTCTAGTATGGGTTTTATTAAGCATGGATTATCCTACTTTAGCCTGATAAAGATCTCCATGGCCTTAAAACTGTGGATCATTGACCATGTCAGATGACTGTGAACACCATAAAGCAATTCATGATGCTTGGGTTGAAGGCAACTTAGCCTCGCAAGCGTGAATAAATCACCATCGGTATAGAACAACTAAGCCTATGAGATTGCTGCTGCTACTCATCTTGGAAAAGATGTGATCTCCTACCAGTTACTTTGGTCAAATAATTGGGTACCATCATCCTGAGGAATCACACTCGTGAAGCTGAGGGCTGGTTCATTACTGCTGCTGCTGTTGACTGTGACATGCTTGAATTGAAGATCTTCAGTCTGGTCAAAAGGAAACAAGAGTGTGAATCCTGAAGAGTACACCTGAAAAGTCTCCTAATTGTGGCCATCTTTTGTTGTCATCAGCAGCAGAGGCAATGAGCACTGTTAGTGAGTAAACTTGACAGTGACTGTGGATATCTGGAGGCATATTCTGAGCATATCTCTCCTGTACTTCCTCCACAACTTGGTGAGAGTCCAGCACTGTTCCATTGATGGACGGGCACGCCATCGATGCTGCTCTGTCAGCCTGGGATCCCACCTCGAATCTTGCTGCTAGCTAAACTCTACAAGAAAGGTCCACATTTTGAAAAGAAGGGAAGCTCACTCTGAGAAATGCAGGTTCATGGCAGAGCCATGATCGTCACGGTGCCAAGCTCTTGAATCGGATTCGAACGGCACAGGTGAGAGTATATATAGTGTGCATCCCTCTTGTTCTGATCCAAAACATGCAATGGGGTCGGGGATTCGGGACAAGCTGGGATTGAAGGGTGTTTCTATCATTTCCAAAAGGCTAAAAGATGGGGGTCTTTGAGGAGCCAATGAAAGAGTCACAGGAGGGTGGGAGGGTGTTTATGGAACTTGGGGGAACTCTTGGTGTTGGGAACGGCGCCTGAATACTTGGGGTTTGGGTGGTAAAACTGAAGGGGCATTGAGATAGGTGAGAGAGGGAGCTAATGGAATCACAAAAAGCTGTAGCTTTTGCTTTGACCGTTCTCCCTCTTCCATGCACAACTGCACACCCACAAACACACATCCAAAGCCACCACAAGGAAGCAGCCCCAAACACTTTCCAAATAAAAAATCCCTTTTGCTGTCTCCCTTTAGTTTTCTTCAGCAAACTTCCCCTCCTCCCCTTGCTGCTTCCCCTCAGTCGTGGATGCCAGGCGGAGCCATCCAACATCCGCACACTGAAAGCTCTAAAGTTGTGATCTTTGGGAGCAAGGTATGACTTTGGGCTCTTTCCCTCTCACTTCTGGTTGAATTCTTGCATCTCGCCATTTTCATTTGTTGTTTTCTCCTTTCTGTCTCTTTTTCTTCTTTCTCTGGCATCCTAAATCTACGTGTTGTCTTCGGTTTGGGTGGATCGGACCTGCTTTAGGACTAATGGACGAAGATTTCATGGGAAGCATTCATTGTTTTCTTTCTGTTTACTGAAAAGTCCTTCATCTTGCTATTCCGAGGATCTGATATTTTATAATGAGCAGAAGTTGCGATTTTTGCGGCTGGAATGATCCTTGGTTCTTGATTCATGATTCCAAACATTTTGCTGGTACTTTTGAGATATTGGAGTTTTCGCTTAGAAAGGTGTTAATGCTGCATCTACTTCTTCTTCTTCCCCTCGCAGAAAAAAAGTTATTTGCTTTAAGGTGCGTTATGGTCCACCATCCTCGCTGTTGTGGAAAGTTTGTATCTTTAAGTGCTTTTGTGTGATCTTTTATTCAGTCCTTTCGCTATTATGTAGAGGTTGGTGCGCTCTTGTGGACCAATGTCTTTAAGTAGCTTTGGGAGGTCTCAATGTTCTATTATATGAAGCTTCTTTGAATTGCATTCCAGTTAAGATGATAAGTTAATGGACCTTTCTGATTTTGCTCTTAGATCTTGGCATACCGGCTTTCCTTGGAATGTGTTGATCGGTCATCGTCTATTGTGAGGTGGATTGGTATTTGAGAACTGTTTCTTTATCTTGATATGTATATTATGTTTGGATTCAGATGTTCTTAATCTGTAGGTTATGTGTTCTGCCCATCCTTTTTCCTAGAGCAGATTTCTCAAGTCTCTTATTTGTGATCTTGTCACCTCATTCATGCTTCCTCCATGTCATTGCATTTGCAGATCATGATTTTAATACTTACCTTCCCTGTAAAAATCTGTGTTGCTGAAGAGCAATGCATGAGATGGTTATTTCTGGCAATTTTTGGTAACTTTCTGTAATTGTCATGACGGCAGATCCTGGCTTGAGAAGATCTATTGGTGATGGAGCAAAATATTTTTGGTTCTTTGGTGGAGTGCTTCAAATAGTTTTTTCTTTCTGGGAAAAATGGAGTAGTAATTTGTTGGTCAATTTGGCCTGTTAGACACATAGGGGTTATTAATGGCTTCAAAGGCTACCTCGAGTAACCGCTCTGAGAAACAAGTTAAAACACCTGGGAACCAGAAAGTAAAGCCAAATTTTCCACATACTAAACATGTTGCAAAGCCAAGCAAATCAGAGCCTACTGCATCAAAAAATTTGGTAGCTGTCGGCGAGAGCATGACAAAGCATATTTTGTCCGAAGTTTCAGAGAATAAAGAACCAAACCACTCGCTTAAGGACACTATTGATTCTATAACAGATAAGGTTCGTTCTACGGTCATGCTTTCTTCAGAAAACAATGACATGAATCCATCTTCCGATGGTTGGAAGCAACCAACACAGCGTGCCGATTCCATTGAACCAAGTGGGACCATTATCTTGGAAGGCAATGGAGATCAAGAAAAGAAATCTGAACACGGTGCAAATAATGGTATTGTTTCTGCTAAAGCTAGTGTTGAGGACAACAGTATAACAAGGGCTAGTGAAGGTGCTAAGATCAGTGACAAAGCTGATGTTATTGAGAACAGGAAAAGCAGCATGTGCAGGCCTAGTACAAGCAGTGATATCAGTGATGAGAGCTCATGCAGTAGCTTGAGTAGCAGCATTACTAAGCCCCATAAGGGAAACGATTCAAGATGGGAAGCAATTCAAGTGATACGAGCTAGAGATGGATTTCTGGGTTTAAACCATTTTAGGCTGCTAAAGAGGTTGGGATGCGGTGACATAGGTAGTGTTTATCTATCAGAGTTAAGCGGCACAAAAAGTTATTTTGCAATGAAGGTCATGGACAAGGGATCATTGGCTAGTCGTAAAAAGCTTCTAAGAGCTCAGACAGAGAGGGAGATATTACAATGTCTGGATCATCCATTTCTTCCGACGCTATATACCCACTTTGAAACTGATAAATTCTCCTGTCTGGTGATGGAGTTCTGCCCGGGAGGAGACTTGCACACCCTTCGGCAGAGGCAACCAGGGAAATATTTTTCTGAACAAGCAGTGAAGTAAGTCCTATACTTCACTTTCCTATAAGCACTTGAGTTACAGCTTTTAGACTATTTGTTATTCTTTTCAAGATTCTTCATTTTCATATAAAATCTGTATATGCTTGTATACATTTTTTTCATGTTAATTTTGCAGTATAGATGGTTCGAGTTTAGGGCTTTCATATTCAGATGTTTTACTTCAAAGCTCATTGGTTTTCTTGGTCTTATTCATGGTTTGATATTGCAATTGTCATGACTGTAATCATAATCATGTTGGATTAAAAAGATTTAAAGATCTAGAAAATGCTCAGCAGTCAATTTTTATGAAGGTTCACATATTGGAAGTGGCTAACACACGTATTGTGTTGTGGAAAACTTCATGGAGCATTCCCAGGTTTGTTTAATTGAGAGATTCTTTGACATTGTTAAGTTCTCATCCATGACATGTCTATCTGGTTATGGGCATCCACCTCCTTTGTTGGAAGCATGTCATCATGTAGAAAATCATTCTTTAAACTGGCCAACCGCCGTGGTTCTTAGATACCCAATCCAAATCTAAATTAGGTGGCGGTCGTTTGACTTATAATCTGCTGTGCCACTTCTACATTACAGAAATGATTGCAGAGCCAATAAGCTTTGGTTACATTTCTAAATTGGTTCTAGATGAAGTTATGCAATTATGCATGCCTTATTTTGAAATATTAAGCAGGGCATATAGTGCTGGAGGACAGTGGTTGACATACTAACAATTCTTTTTCCGTTAGACATAATTAGTAGTACTAGAAGAGCTGACACTGATCTGCTTGCGACTAATAATTGTTTCTTCTTGACATTGATATTGCAGGTTCTATGTAGCAGAAGTCCTCCTAGCACTAGAATACCTGCACATGCTTGGCATTATATACCGTGATCTCAAGCCAGAAAATGTCCTTGTTCGGGAGGATGGGCACATCATGCTTTCTGACTTTGACCTTTCCCTTCGATGTGTCGTTAGCCCCACACTGATCAAGTCTTCCAACCCAAAATCGGAATCATCACGGAAGAACAACCCAGTCTACTGTGTCCAGCCTGCTTGCATCGAACCACCCTCCTGTATCCAGCCTTCTTGTATTGCTCCCACGACATGCCTTGGCCCTCGGTTTTTCTCCTCCAAGTCCAAGAAGGACCGGAAATCTAAGACTGAGATAGGGAACCAGGTTAGCCCCTTACCTGAGCTCATAGCAGAACCCACAGATGCCCGTTCAATGTCGTTTGTGGGTACACATGAGTACTTGGCCCCTGAGATCATCAAGGGTGAGGGCCATGGGAGTGCCGTCGACTGGTGGACCTTTGGCATCTTTCTGTATGAGCTTTTGTTCGGGAAAACTCCATTCAAGGGATCAGGTAATAGGGCCACATTGTTCAATGTCATCGGGCAGCCATTGCGCTTTCCGGATTCCCCAATTGTGAGCTTCTCTGCCAGGGACCTGATAAGGGGACTGCTCGTGAAAGAGCCACAGCACAGGCTCGCATATAAGCGTGGGGCTACGGAGATAAAGCAGCATCCGTTCTTCGAGGGCGTAAATTGGGCCTTGATACGGTGTGCAAGCCCCCCAGAAATCCCGAGACCTGTCGAGATCGACAGGTCCCCACAGCCTATGGCATCAACAAGCCAAATATCTGCACCTGCAATCAATCAGAAACGATCTGATAACTATCTTGAATTTGATTTCTTCTAGTGATGCTTCTCCACTGAGTACCTCTGCTGTGTCAGGAGTGGGTCTATAGTTTTTCTAAATGTTTCAGTGTTTGCAGCTGGTGTTTTGTATCAACTGTCAAATTTCTATCAAGCTGCTTACTGCAAGTTGCATATGGTTTTCCATGATTTGTACTCAATACTTCTGAATGAATGTTGAGACATTTTCTCCTGTTCATTACTAAGAATCTTTTTCCTTCTGTTTTTGGTTAAATTTCTTGTTCCGACCGATCCACTTTTAATTAGAGAGGTTATTTTACCTAATCTTACAGGGTATTTTGCCTCATGGACTACCTGAAGAATCATTCTTTTGTTGTTGAACTAGCAGGGGTGAACTCCTCCCTATTTTGAGCAACACTTGAGGTCAACCCACAAATGAGAAGGTAAAACAAATGAGGTCAACACACAAGGACTTGAGGTAGATCCTTGTTGACTGATAAAGAACAATAAATCAAACATATGGAAAATATGAAATCTTTTTCAGTTGGTGCTACTAGCCATCATAAAACAATGGAGGTTCACAGGAATCAGAATCTTTCCTCTTAACTATGCTATCTATCTTGCTAATTTCTGCAGATACCACCATCCTCATACTGCTTTATGTTGTTCAAATGATGCTTGTGAAAATGTTGATAAAAAAAATATATATGGAAAACCAAATACAAAAACCCTAAATAATGGCAAAATAATCTCTGAATTCTATTGATCTATGATGGAAAATTGATATGCACCCAATTTTAATTAATTTTTAAAATATGTTAAAAAAGTATATGGAAAATTCAAGAATGTCATCATTTTTTTCCTCCAATAATAAATTATTATTTTTTAAAGAATAAATCATGAAGGCAAGATTTGACTGACTCAAAGTTTCTTCTATAAAACTATTTTATTATTCTCCCAAAGTTTAATTGATCAAAGAACTGCATGTATTTAAGAAAAAAAATTTTCTTTATATATCTATTATTGTAAAATTTTTAAATAGAAATCTAGCAAATACAAATTTTAATAGAGTTTATATACTTCCAAATAGTATCCATTCAGAAATTTAATTAACTACTTCTAACTATAATTGTATCTGCCAACTTAAATTACAAAAAAAAAAATCCTTACCTTCATAATGAATTTCTCAAAGACACTAATATCATTTAAAATATTAATTATAATGCCATATGTACATCTATATTATTTTATAAATACATATGTTAAAGTGAAAGTTTAGAGGGATACATATAACAATTACTAAAAACAGAGGGGTCTATACACAATTCTGCTAAAGACACTTAACAAACTGTGTGTACTGAAATGGACGGTCAAGATCGTTTCTCGAGACGAGATCGGTCTCAAGATTTAGGCCTCGTCGCCATTCAGGAGCAATATGACGGTGGAGCGACGATACCAATTGGGGATCGCGTTATAATGGCGGGGATGTGTTAAGGTTCCATGTCCGATTGCTGGCTTCTCAAGTTGCGAGAGGTTTCGCAGGCAAGAAGGCGAAAGCCGAGGCCCTAAGGAGTGGGATCGCGCTAGGGCTTAGTGGTGCTCCTCTTGTCGCTCACGCGCTTCGATTCTCTTCCTCTTCGTGCGGTCCTCTGAGTCTTCCTCTCCCTCGCCGGCGAACGCCGCAGCCGCCGGAGGTATCCGTCTTCCTCCTTCTCTTTCTGTTTTCCTTCTTTTTCGGCTCCACATCCCTCTGCGCTCCTCAGTCCCCTCTTCTCTCCGTTTCTTGATAATCTAAAAATAGGGATCGAGCTAGGGTTTCGTCGTACTCCTCTGATCGCACACGCGGCAGTTCTCTTTTCCCCGTCGTCCGGTTGGCGGAGTCTTCCTCTTCCTTTCTGGAGCACGCTGCAGCCGTTGGAGGTACCTCGTCCTCTTTGCCTTCTTTTCCGTCACCTGCCATCTTGATTCCCCGCTCCTCCTCTTCGTCCTTCTCTCTCCATTCTTTTCCGCCGCCACCGCCCTCCTCTTTCCCTTATCCTCCTCCTTTTCCGCCACCAAATTACTATTTCTTGAATAGCAATCTATGTTTGCTAATTGTTCTATTGTTTGTTATTTTTAATTTTGTTTATTAATGGATTTTTCATCTCTCAATTGCAAATGCATTTTCTAGAGCAATGGAACACGCAGAAGATGAGTGCCGTGTGGGTGGCGAGCATCATGGTAAACAGGACGATGAGGTATAATTTTTAATATCTGATCGCTGATATCTACTATCACTAATGCAGGGGTTAAATCAAGTCTCATGTCTACCTCCTTATATTTTGCTTCATCTGGTGTCTAAAGCTTATTTATCATTAAATCAGGCAATTGCTGTAGGTACCATTTTCTTAAGTCAGTAACCAATTTGTAAGAAGTGTGATGCATATATCTATACTTCTGGACAGAAAGTTGATAATGAGGTAGCATTGTTTCCAAAATTTTTAATGTTCGCGTGTCAAGTATTATATCTGATAGAGTTTCTGTTGTTGATTTGCTTTTATCATAGTTGCCTTTGTTATTATCATTCCATGTTCCACTTCCGTCTTGGTCTTGGGTTTAAGCTAGATTGAAATGTTTTGGCAGTTTGGTGATTTTGGTTTGGGGCCTATCACAAGTTAAAAAAATGATTGTAAAAAGAATTTAGATAACTTATGATTGAAGGAAGATTTGAGAAAAAAACCAATGGAGGAGGTGATAGGATGGAACTCTTTGATATTATCCATGATTGACGATGAATTAGATAATATATGGATGAAGGCAGAAAAGCCATTTCAAATCATTTTGATCTGTGATTTGTGAGACCTGTCCATTATTTTTAGTACAGTCTTATAATCATGCCAGTAGGTAGTGAACTTTGTGGGTTTCATGACAGTTGATTGACCAAAGAATTGTATGCTAAAACACTTTGATCTGGGACATGTTTGGCATATCTTGTTTCAGTTCTTTCTCTCGCAATGACAACCTCATCAAGGGTGCATTATATTTCATACCTAAGTCTATACCCTTCTAAGGGTCCTTGCTCAGTGGGAGCATTGTTTAATGTAATTTGCTGTACTAGTCTTTGTGCTGATGGCATCTGAAATGGTGAAGAAGTTCAAGAAGATAGGTCTTCCATGAATGTCACTGACATTGAATTTATTCAGAAATGTTTCTATACATATTATGGATGGGCTTGGCACAGCATAGTAAGGTACAGGTACTCTTTCGGTGCTCGACTTATGTCATAGAATACATGATAACTTGGCCTTCAAGTTCTCATATGAGATACTTAAATTTGTTATCAGTCATGATATTGCAGATATTGTTCTCTACTTTTTTTTTTCTGGACCTACATGGTTGATCCATAATCTAATACTCATTTGATAAGAGCTTTTACCCTTATATCAAACTTTCAGTATCTTGTATTTTTTTCTCTACAGGAAAGCATTGCACGCCTTGAGGAACATCGAAAATCAATTGATGCGAAAATAGCTCTCCGTCATAGTAATCTGAATCCTGAAAGACCAGGTATGCATGTAACAGAACACATACTCTTTTAAGTATTCTTTTGTTCCTTGAATATAATGGATAGAATTTTACATTATCGGGAATGTGAACTTAATTTTTAATTGCTTGATAAGCCACTTATTTCAAATATCAATATACTTATCTTTTTCTCTTCAGAAATTAGACGTCCACTTTCGAATAATGATCACAGAGGCCAATACTATAATTAGGTTTTCATGGTAAATTGGTAAGCAAGACTTGATGAAGGCTCTGTGCAGGTTCATTTACAAACAAATTAAGCTGATTATTGAATTGAAACTTGGATTAAAACCAACCGTGGTTGAATGGCATCAGTTCCTAACTATAATTTAAAGGTTCGCTTTGGAACACATTGCTTGAGTCTGAGTTGATCGTGCTGAACGTTTGCAGCCTTACTAATGGATAATATAGTTGTAGGATATAATTTTTGATCGTACTGAACGTTTGCAGTTGTGGTGGTTTAATTGCTGCCTATTCCTCCTAAATGGGTTAAATTGTTTTGAAGTTGTTTGAAGCTATAGTGATAAACATTGATTTTTGCCATTAGATCTAATGCTTCTGAGCTCAAACAGAAGTCTTCTCAAGTTATGAATGGTAATGTGGCCTACTTCTTAGGTAGGACAAGTTCGGACCCAAACTCAATCCGATTTGGTCATCGTAGAGGGAAGTGGTTGGAGCAGCACTGTCCTCCTGCTACCATTTTAATCTTTGAAGATTTCCAGAAGTTTCTAATGGCTCGTTGATATCATCTTAAATCTGTCCAATTATAGAAAAATAATATTCACTATATAGGAAAACAAAAATGGTGGTTCAATTCATGAGGTTTTCACCAATGTGGCGTTCAGGGAAGATCCATGTAAGAAGTCTTGTCAAACTTTGATTACCAAAATTGCATAAAGCAATCCTACTGTGGTGCTAAAGCTTGTTGTCTTCAGAGCACTATGATGGAAAGCTAGTAAATTGGTCTTTAGAGAAAATAACAGACAACATAAGAATAGATAAGGAAGGGGAGAGAGAGATGAGATCACAAGAAGTTAAGTAGAAGAAAAATGAGAATAGAGAAGTTAAGGAAACGGTGCAGGGGTGGCATCAAGTTGAAGTTTTTTGGGGTATCTCACTTGCTTGACCTGCTTTAGTCATTAGAAGTCATTAGAGTCTTACTCAAAATCCATTAGGACTATAGGACTGTTAAGGAAACAAAGATCTAAAAGTCCTCTATAGTGCTGTTATTGTAGCTGATCACTTAATAGTGCTGCTTTTCAAGCTTCAGCGGTATGAACTGTAACTATGATGCGTAACAAGTTAGACTTGACTAAGCATTTATATTTTGAACTCCAACTTTATTGCAAACTCAGACACATTAGGCTTAAAAAATATAAAATACTCAATCCTGAACTCAAAGAACACAGCAAGGTCAATCTATATGCTAGACTCTAGTGGCCCATGTAGAGTTGACTAATTCAGGCCCTATGCTTGGGCCTTCTAGTATTCCCTTTGGATATGTATGTTTTTGGTCTTTATCCGGCAGCAGGGCTTGAATCTTCTAGGTACACTGTCTTTGATACTGTTTTTTGATCCAAATTTTTATCCTAAAAGCTGATGACTTTTTGACTTATAATTGATTAGAAAAACTAGTTCTCTGTGACGCTGTGGACCTTATAGGCTGATATATTTGGGTTAAGTGCCAAGGTAAGCCTTTGAGCTATACCACTACATGATATATCAGGAGACATACTAGTTTTGTTTGGGAAATTCAATTATATTGAAGTATCTAACATGTCATATTTAGCATTGTAATTTAGCATTGTTTCGATAATTTCTATCACAGTAGTGCTTATGGTATTTTGTTCCAGATTCTGGTTTTCTCAGGACACTGGACTCCAGTATCAGACGTAATACTGCAGTTATTAAAAAGCTTAAACAGATAAATGATGAGCAAAGAGAAGGCTTGTTGGATGAGCTAAGAAGTGTTAACTTGAGCAAATTCGTTAGTGAAGCTGTTGCTGCTATTTGCGATGCCAAGCTTAGAGCTTCAGACATTCAGGCAGCTGTGCAGGTACATTTTGAGTAGTGTGCACGTAGTTGTATTTGTTAAGCTAATTGTCACGTATGTAACTTAGGGTCTCTTAGTGCATGTTAAAATACATTGTTGTGCATTTATTGAGTGACTTGTTTGTTTCAACTTCTATTAATGTATAACTTTGGTTTTTTATGAGACAAAAAATCATAGTCCCAGTTGTATAAGGAGTAATTTACTAGGGCAATGTTAAATGCTGATATTGGTAATGGATTTAATCTTTTACTTGTATAAATCTTATGTAGCTTAGATTCTATAATATGCTGTGTTATTCTGATTGAATGGTAGCACTGTTAGTTTCCACTATAATGGATGCATTTGTATAAATTTGTTTAAATAATTTGCAGTTGATCTTTTTTTCTTTTTTTTTCTCTCTTCGTGAACTGTTCTTTGAGCTCTTGGTCATGTGTGTCAGTCTTTAATTTGATTATTATTGTCTTCTTATGCTTTGAGTCACTGCTTTTTATTATTTAAGATTTGTTCCTTGACCTTGAGGTAATTTCAGAAATACAAACACTGAAAAAAATTTGGAGTGAGGGTGGGGATAATGGTCATTTAGGATTTCTACTTTTATTGTTAATTAAATTGTTATTGCTCATTATTATCTTGCCAGCTTTAAGAAATCACTGTAAATCATGTAATGCTGTGCTGTTTAGAAGTTTACATTTTTGTGCTCATTTGGTACTTAGCATCAGAATTTTATTATTGTTCAGCCTTTTGGGACAAATGAATAAGATTTAAGCAGGTGTCTTGTGATGAAACACAATTGAAGGCCTTGCTTGTTTCCCTAATCTCATTCTGGATACCATTTATTTTGTAGGTTTGCTCTTTGCTTCATCAGAGATACAAAGACTTCTCACCTTCCCTTGTTCAGGGCCTTTTAAAAGTTTTTTTTCCTGGAAAATGTGGAGATGAATTAGATGTTGATAAAAGCCTGAGGGCAATTAAGAAGCGGAGTACTCTGAAGCTTCTTATGGAACTCTATTTTGTTGGCGTGATTGATGATTGCAGCATACTTGTAAACATTGTAAAGGATCTTACTACCTTGGATCATTTGAAGGATAGGGAGGTGACACAGACAAATTTGTCCCTTCTCACAAGTTTTGCCCGACAAGGAAGATTCTTTTTAGGCCTTCAGCAACCTGGACAAGAAATTTATGATGAGGTATGCTGTAACTTTGGATGTTTCCATTTGTTTGTCATATTCTGTTGTATGATTCTTGTCACTTTCTATGACAAAATTATGTGTGAATTTCAGACTTTCTGCTGAATAATGTGTTTGTTACCTTTGATGAGGGTTTTTTATGCTTTAATAGACTGCATGCTATTGCTATATGAAGTGTGCATCACTATGATGGGATTCCTTGATAGCTCAGTAGGGTTTCCACTTAAAGTATTACGTTGATTATACGGTCGCATCTAAAATTTGTCTATCATAAGCCTCATGCAATGCTCCTTGCTTTTCAAACAAGTAACCTTCTGTCAGGTCTGCTGCAGTTCTTTAAAGGCCTTAATGTCACCGCGGATCAGAAGAAGTTTTTTAAGAAAGCATTGCACTCGTATTATGACGCTGTCACTGAATTACTTCTTTCTGAACATAATGTAAGCTTGTTTAGTGAGAAGTATTATTTTGTACATTTATTCTTTTTTGTTATGATTTATCTATTATTCTGATTTTTATGAATATATTTTCACTTCATGTTTGTATTATTTGCTGTTAAATTTTGTTGCAGTCACTTCGGCTAATGGAACTTGAGAATGCAAAGGTATTAAGCGCTAAGGGGGAGCTTAGCGATGAGAATGCTGCTTCCTATGAGAAGCTTCGGAAGTCTTTCGATCACTTGTTTCGTGGTGTCTCTTCGTAAGACTTCTTCCTGATAATATACTTGTGTTTTGAGCAATCATAAATTAGTATGAATTTTCTTTTTCTCTTGTTATATTAATAGCTGTGTGTCAGTAATATGTGCTTGTATCACTTTTGATGCTCTTTGGCCTGTGTGGAGATATTTTTGTCGCGCTAACATGCGTTGAGATTACTTAGATTCAGACAACTGATGTTTGGATCCTAACCGGTTTTAATAAGCAACACATTTTAGATCTGTAAAGCATGAAAAATATTAAGCTGATAAAGCATAAGAAACTAAACCACATTACACCATCTAGGTTTTGATTGACATTTATTTAGCTTAACTATTTTATGATGTAATAAAATCCAGAACAAGCACTGACCTTCTTTTGTGGTATACCTAACTATCTAATATGTTAAGACATTTTTCTTGGTTAAGTCTTGATCTAACAAGCTTTTAAATTAGTGTGAAATAGGGGGGGTGAATTTATGGGGTTTGGTTGGGTTGGGCTGGGTTTGGATGTGATTTTATTGTTATATAGGGCTGACTTAATATTATCTTTACCCATGCACATGGCTGAGGAAATACAAGGGTATGAACAAGTGCTGCACTGCAGAGAGGTCATAGTGTTGAAGGCCAAAGGATGGCCAGCAGCTCAAGATTTGTTGACTTGGGCTCAACACATCACTAGTTGGTTAGGTTGGATCGAAATAAGTCAGGTTGGGTTTTATGGATCAAGATGTGTGCTGCATTATTCTTCAAGCAAAGAAAATAGGTTGGTTGGATTTATCATTCTGTCAAGGAAACATATGCTTGACTCAAAGTTGATCTGAGTCAATAGCATATCAAGATCTCGACTCTGATTCCACCTCTGAAGCCATTGGTTTTATATGAACATGGTCAGGATTCCGACCCCTAATTTCAGACTGCGCAAATCATTTTAACTTTATATGAACACAATTAATTTTTTTTAAATAAATGGTCTTATTTTCAGTGGATATATGCAGAAAGTTTAGCCATAATATCACTCGTGCTTGACCCTTTAGCTACAACTTATCAGAAATTTCTGTAGGGCCTAGGAGCCTCACTCATTGAGTCAAAATCTATTATTTTGAAAGGTATTGTTGCACACTGCAAATCTTTTCTGTAGATGCCAACGAAGGTTTAGGTTGATTTTTGGCTGCCTGCGTCAACTGTATCAACATTACCCTGTGCTGTTACAGCAATTCTTGGTTCTGAATCTTCTGATCATATTAAAATTTGCAATTTAAGTGAAAGATAATACTTTATTTATTGTTGGCAAAAGATTGGTAACTACAGTGGCCAAAGTACTTGAAAAGATAAAAAAGAATAAGTGAAAGAATTAGAAAAGGTAATTGGTAAGACTATTTAAGCTACCAAAAAGATTATTCTATTAACATAGGAAGGTAATCATAGTGGTTTGTGCTTGTATACTTTTTCCTTGCCAAACATACACCAAAACTAAATATTAGTTTTACGTATTGTTTCCAAATGTTTCTTTGCAGTAACTTGTTTTAATGGATTCATAAAAATTTTTACTCTAGACTGTGAAAAGAATAAAGCTAAATTCTTGCTAAAAATAATATAGTCAAAATATTAGTTTTGTTGTTGTAAGGAAACAGTTTTCATGTTAAAGATAAATTCAAATGTTTTCTTGCAGCAAGGAAACCGTTTTCATGGAACTAAAATTCCTACTCTGAATCATAAAAGAAAGGAAAAAAAATCGAATTTAAAATTTTGCCTTAGTTATAAAATCACATTGTCAACAGCCACCGTAGTGTGGTACTGTGATGTACTGCAAGTATGAGGGTTCCTGGAGGGAATCTTATTTTGTTGGCTTTTAGTAAAAGAAGAGGTAAGATGGGAATTCTTAAATGAGCTCTGAGATGTGACAGAGGCATGTAGCTGTCTGACTGGTTTTGGAGTGACACCATTGGATTTCAATCAAAACTTCAGTCAATGTTTTGCTCAAATCAGGAAAATCTTATTTGATTGAGGGGATCTGGTTCCATTTGACTTTAAAGGAGACACTAGGTTGTTAGGCTTTTTTTTAATGATTTTGTTGCAACTTCCATGGATTCTTTGGGTCTATAACCAACTCACATAGTATGTAGAAGTGCAAGTATAATGATGATAATGATGCTGATGTCAATTGGTTAAAGAATGGTATGATTTAGCATCAGTAAGGATTGTGACAAGGTCCCCCAAATTTGCCTATCTGTCGTGCAAACCTAACCCAATGCATCAGTAGTCTTCTGGTACTCTTTATGATGTTGCAATTTGTGGTCTTAGCCCAATTCAGATTTTTGAATGCAAAGGCTCAAAATATCACCAGGGTTGTTAGGCTCATTGTGTAGGGCCCCAGTCTCCTCTATTTCGAACATGGATTATGATGACTATGTCACATGGATGCACGTTAATGTTGGATTGTCCATAAAAATCATTAGATGATTGATTCATATATACTAGTGCTTTTGGAATAATCTTTCCAAATAGGCTTCGCTGACATAAAAAGCCAGTATTGCCGAGATTACAAACATAGTTGCTGTTTACACCAAAATGTCTTTTAAATTGTATGCTTGAATGTCAGTATGTATTTTAGCTATTGTCTATCATTTCATTGGAACCTATTCTTGATTACCTATGCTGTGCATTTCCAAATTAGCTTCTTATATTTGTTCATTCACATTCTTACCTGCTTCTTCTTGTACAGTTTAGCTGAAGCCATTGACATGCAACCTCCTGTAATGCCAGATGATGGGCATGCAACTCGAGTTACAACAGGAGTTGATGCATCGTCTTCTGTTTCTGCCAAAGAAACATCTGTTCTCGAACCTGTATGGGATGATGAAGATACACGAGCATTTTATGAATCATTACCTGATCTCAGGTTTGTTAGGCAGTAAATTTTTTGTAGTACTTCTAATAAAATTTCTGAAACTACTGCATAGAAGTTTAACTGTATTGCGTTCTGGGTACCGTATACTATTTGTTGTCTGGATACCTTGATTTTATGATTGCTTTTTTATGGTTGCTTGTAAATCTAAATTAACTCTCCATTACTGAGCAGAGCGTTTGTTCCTGCTGTTTTACTTGGAGAAGCTGAACCAAAGTTGAATGAACAACAACTGAAAGCACATGATCAACAAAATGTAAGGATGCAATGGACTCAATTTTTTTGTTATTGGATTTATCTTGTTGGAATCTTCCTGAAAGCTTCATAGAAGCAAGCAGTGTTTGCAGAAATAGTGATTGTTGTTGTTGAAAGGAGAAAACAATAAAAAGTGCATATTCTGCTGCTTATTCCAACCACTGCTGGTCCCTGCCAGCTGGATAAGCACACAATGGTGCTAACCAGTGTATGTTTATGCTTTGGAACATGATGATGGATGTGACATAGATGAGTTTTCTACTAAAGTAGATCCAAGTGCAATGGACAAATATAAATGAGGTTCATTAAACCTAACTTAAAGAGGGAAAATTAGACACTGCATGCACCGTACTATATGCAGTCTAATGGTGGACAAGGAGATGAGGTACAAATTTGCACATATAAAACCAAGCGATTTCTCAAGTCCTACTCTGAACATTTCAAGCTAGCTGAAATATATGATGGCTAGACTGTTGCATATTAGCTAATTCTTCTATATCTGCCACCTTAGCTTCAAATTACACATTTATAGGGATGAAAGAGGAATATGTCAATAGGGTTTTCCATTAATTTTTGTCATCTTTTCCTTCTGGAGACTACTTTAAGTGGGATATCGTTTAACGCAATATCCTCCAGGTTTTTTTTTATATGAAAATCGTCACTTTTTTTGTATTGGTTAATTCTCTTGGAGTCATATCCACGGGAATCATGTGTTGCACGTAGTAAACTGAATGACATACTATTCACCTTCACACCTTGACAGCAATGAATGCTTTTTGGTGTGTTTGACAGTTTCAATTATAAAATTTGAAGGTCAAATTGTGTTCTTTGTTCTCTTATGATTCTTTCATTGCATTGCTTCCATCAGTTTCTTGTTCTCAAACTCTGCAGGCATATTATTTCTTAGGCACCAAGATACTCCTTAGACATCCTTTTGTTATACACCTCTTAGCTCATTAAATCATTGTGGTCCTTGTTGTTCTTTTGTGAGTTTAATTTTGAACTATTCTGATATTTAAGGAAACTACATTGGAGCCAGACAATGATGTGCAAGATACTGCTGAGACCTGTGCTGATTCAGAATTTTCACCAGAGTGTAGAACAGATGAAAAGGGAAAGGATAAAGATGACAAAGATAAAGAAAGAATCAGAGATTCTGAAAAGGAAAAATCTAAAGAGGACACTGAACGGAAAGATGGGGAGAAGGATAAGATCAAAGGCCTTGATGGAACAAGCTTGGACAGTCTACTACAGAGGCTTCCAGGCTGTGTAAGCCGTGATCTTATTGATCAGTTGACGGTAATTACCATGTGTTTTCTTGTGTGTAATGTTTTATTCTGTTTGAAACTTGAACTAATCAATATGTTATCTAATGACCTTTCCTCAGGTAGAATTTTGCTACTTAAATTCAAAGGCAAATAGAAAGAAACTAGTCCGTGCCTTGTTCAATGTCCCAAGGACCTCCTTAGAGTTATTGCCATACTATTCTCGTATGGTGGCAACATTGTCAACTTGTATGAAAGATGTCCCAACAATGCTTTTATCGATGTTGGAAGAGGAATTCAACTTTTTGATAAATAAGAAGGTACATTTAATATTCCTCTTACTGTTGACTCTTGATTCTTGTTATTGAGATAACTTCAGTTTGTGGTTTGATGCAGTCACAAAAGCAAGGTTACTTAAGCACTTATAATATTAAGTGTCATATCCAAAAGAAGCAGGATTAGGTGCTTTGGTAGTTGGATCAATTGGTTTGTAATATGATGAGATATATTTGAATGTAGTTATTGTTATGCTTGATGCATTAGCTCCTCATAGCAGTGCAGATGGTTTTAGAATGTGTTGGTGATAATACCACAATTTGTTATTACCAAGTCCGTACTTAGGTTATGGTAAAACACGAGGACTTGAAGTCCATCTTAAGTTGCACATTACACAATCATCTTTTTTTTTATTGGAATATGAAGTTTACCAATGTTATCTACGTGAACTTGGATAGGCTCATCAATATGGTTGCAGCATCATTTGTAAGCTAAGTTCTGTAGCATTGTGGTGTACTTCACTAATGCTAATGCATTTTATGAATTTTTGTGTATAACTTCACACGGTTTATGACATGTTGATTGCTTGAAAATAAATAGATTGCCTCAGAATAGAATCCCACTTAGGCAGCCTCTGCCATAATTGTTCCTAAGATTCTCGAACTCACCTTTTTATCCCACTGCACCTGTGTCAATATGACACATAGAAGCTCTGGTATGATATAGGTTTAAAATCTGTTAGCATCGCCCAGAAATTGTTCTCCTCAGCTAAAAATAGGCCAGTGTCATCTTTCGACTGATTTTTTTGCTGGTGAAGAATAAAATGTAGTAAGTGGCTACTGATCCTTGAAGGAGAAGTGCCTCGATGCTGCTGTGCTACTGCTGCTGCTCTACACAGTCCTGGCTGCACTGTTGTGTGTGAGAGAAGAGGGAGAGTTGAAATGGGGGAGAAAGGAAGCAAGCCTCATAACTCACATGATATATTCTATTGCGGATCACATGATGTGGAATTCAATAGTACTCTGAGCGAAGATTCTGTAGTGAATATTTAATGATCTTATCTGTATCTCAATTGTCAACTGATGAGCAGACAAGAAAAGAGGAGAATAAAGAGAAAAGTAGAAGAGGATACACAAATGTTTAACAAATTAGATACTTTTAATAGTTTTTCTGATAAATTTAAAATACAGTTATTTTATGTTAGTTATGAAGCAGATGTGTCTTTAAAATTTAAAATTGTTATAAAAACTAGAATATTTAAGATGGTAGTTCATAGTTAATCTAAACTTGACTATTGTTTGTATATTCATGTCCTCCATATCCATGTTTTAAATTGGACCCTTTGACTATATCCTATATCTTAATTGGAGAAACAACCTTCTCAGACACAAAAAAATTACACTGTACCTGGCATCCATAATCAGTTTAAAGCAACAGAACTGGATCTATCCGCTTGATTACTTTGCACTGTGGCATTAGAGCTCATAGATCGACAAGATTCTTAGTGATGTGGAGAACTATACAAGTGTTTTTTTGTTTCTGTTGTTGCACTCATTCATGATTTCCTTCTTTCAGGATCAAACAAACATTGAAACAAAGATAAAGAACATTAGGTTTATTGGAGAGCTATGCAAGTTCAAAATTGCTTCTGCAGGTCTTGTTTTTAGTTGCTTGAAGGTATGCTGTGAAATCATCATCTGCAGTCTTATTTACTATGAAGAACGAGATTGTATGTGTCATTTGTTTAAATTTTGGTTGCTAAAGATTTCTTAAGTTGTTCAACTATCTGCATCTTGCTTTAATATCAAGAGCAGTTAATTTAGATGTTCCTGTTTAGGTACACATTTTCCGGTAACATGGCTATTTTGTTGTAATCCTTCTCAACCCTTTTTCACATCCTGCTTTATTGTAGCCTTATGTGTGAGTTACTTCAGAGCTTTCAGAAATTTTTTTGTTGTGTTTTGGCTTTGATTGTCATTTTATTGTATACATGAAAGCAGACTCAGTTCATTGACTGCAGTATGAAAGGAGAAACCACAGAAGCATATTACCTGAACTTGCACCTGCTTCTTGCACACTTTTCTCGTGTTATTTTTTCCAAGAATGCCACTCTCATGCATTTGACCAGCACCAACTCATATGCCAGCTTGCAAATTCAATAACAGCGATATACTTATTAAGGTTCTGTTAGAATCAAAGACACAAAACAGGTTTAATATCTTGCACATTCTATTTCCTCAGAGTATATACATTTTGCAAATATGGCTTTTTACAAGGAATATTTTTTCCTATAAGTAGACTAGGTAGTGGAAGGCAAATGATCAATTTGAGATGGAAGAATAGATGTTAACGAGTCTTTCTTATATATAATTAGCAATTAAGACATTTGAGGCTATTTTTATGGGACTTATATGTCATTAGATTATCATTGTAAGGATTTTAACATACATCAACTGTCTAATCTTGGAAGGCAGACTTTGATTCTTTATTCGAAACAATGTGATCGACTTACGTCCAGTTTAAGCCCTGATCTGCATGGTGTATGACTTGCTATGCTTGGTCTAAGGTTATGTACACATTTTAAGTACTTAGTTCATTTTTCATTATCTTTAATGGTCAGTTTTGGTCACATGGTGTTTCTTTTTTGTTTTGGTGATAAAGCTAGAGTCATTTAGGGTTTTGATCATGGTTCATCTTACCGGTCCGTACCGATGTACCAACCAGCTATTGGTATGGTATGTGCCGAGCTGCACTGAGTCATATTGAGCATACCGACACATGATATATGGGAGCGTACCGATGTATTGTCCGTATTAGTCCCTTGTCAGATTGGTATGTACCACCCATATCGAGCGGTATGTTGCAGTATGGTGAATCTTGGTTTTGATAAAGCTTGCATCAGAGTTAGCTGGTGTTCTCTGTTCAACCGTCTTTTATCTAATCTCTTTTGTCCATAAAAGGGTTTAAGAGCTAGAGAACATAAAGGTGAAAACATAAATATGCTATTGGTTGGTTCTTTTTCAATATTGACCATGCAAAAGATATCTCTTTTAGGGTCCATATGTCAATGCCCAGGTTTCCTATTTGAAGCTATTTGGTCACAAATTCCAATAGCAAGTGGGACTCAAGCCGGGGTAAGAAGGAATAACACATAGGTGCATGCTTTTTCTTTTTAGCTATTGTGACCTTTTGTTTTACAATGGGAGTGTGGGTGTTTGTATCACAAAGAAGGGTCATTAGCTGAAATCAGAACATCTATTTGATGCATTGGATTTATGTGTGTTTCATTTGGATGATGACCTAACATTTCACTTTCTTCTCTTCAGTAGTTCTGTGGCACGTAGAACACATGGGGATAGAGAGACCAACATAAAAATAAAAAAAAATCAGGATATTAAAAAATTTAATGAACCAATATGCCCAACTATTTAAAGCATATTCTTATTTTTTTAAGGATACTAAGTTTCATGTGAAAAAAATGTTTATTTAGTTCTGGTTCTAATACATAAAAAAGCAAAAATAATGATCAAGACTTTATACTATAAAATTTATAGGACAAAAAGTTGTAAATATATTTATTCACTTGAGAGATCAATAATTAAAAAATAAATATATAAGCAAGTTGCAAACTCATTGAGAACCCAAACCTAATGACCATAATTTATATGAGGTACCCAAAATATTTTGCAATTTACGAAAATTTAATAATTTATACAAAAAGGTGGGTTACATATAGAAGTTCCAGTTACAGCATCATGGCAAAGAAACTCTTTTATAGGAGGAACCACTAGATAAATCAAATTATTTATTTATCTTGACTCTCCTCCGAAAGGTTACTACATTGACCACTTCTAGACCCCGCATAAGTGGGGATCTTGTGCAAAGTGCCTGAAACTATTTTGGTTGGTACTGATGTGGTACCAAGATATTGCTTACAGAAAAAAGTTATCTATGTTTTCCCCAAAGTTTAATGTAAAAAAGTATCTTACAAAAAACATTTGGTCTCAAGATGCAGAGTGACATCCAATGGATGCTCGTTGGTTACTACTAGAACAGATACCATTTGCACAATTATCTAACAAATTAATTAAAGGAGTTTTATACAATTACAAGGGGTTGCGGACTTATACAAAATGCAAAAAAGGTATGCCTATCAGGGAGTGCTGTTTTGTCTCTTTTGACACCAAAGTGACATTTGATATATTGAGTTATTTTTGGTGAGTCATATGAGGTTTTATTTTTGTGGGGGATGCTTAATCCAATTGTACATTTCTTTTATCTTTGTTTAGGGATTTTCGGATTTGTTTGTAATTTGGTCTTGCAAATTAAGGTTTGGTCAGGTTGGAGTTTGATTATGATGTTTTAGGTTATTGTAATATATATTTTCAATTGAGTTTGTTTTATTTGAATTTTGTGTTGAGTTTAATTTGGTTCAAATTAGAGTTGGTATGGGTCAAATTTGGGTTTGATTAGGAGTCAATTTAGGCCAATTATGGAGTCAGTTTTAAGATGTTGTATCCGACACGGGAAGGAATTCCAGTGATCCATATTTGCTAGTTTGGTGGTTGATTGTCTGCTTTGAAGCTTGTTATTGGTTGTTTTTGAGTATCCCATTTGAGGAGGAAAACAAATGAAACCTCTCTTCTCTACGATTCCCAATCCGCTGACCAGCTATGTTGAGATTCCTATGTGGTGTCTAACTTGTGACATCTCTGATCAGGAGTATGCAGAAGATTTCAACTGGTTCAAGAAAACATGCTGGATATGTACATAGTATCTCAAACAATCTTTCTAGAAGATGCAGGGGACTGAAAAATAAGATTTTATTTTTCCTTGCACAATCTTTTGTTGGTAGTTGTCTTTAGTTAATTTTGTATCTTGAATCATGAAGTAAGTTTTGATGATTTGAGTTGCCATTGTTTCTATTTCTCTCTGTGCATTATTCATAGTACTCTAACTATTGTAACTTCAGCTTATCAGTAAATGGCATTTGTTCAAAAGCTTTGCATGACTTCCTCACAAACTAAGGTGCATTCTATTGTTATTCAGGCCTGTCTTGATGATTTCACCCATCATAATATTGATGTTGCTTGCAACCTTCTTGAGACATGTGGTCGGTTTTTGTACCGATCACCTGAAACTACCATACGCATGTCAAATATGTTAGAGATTTTGGTGCGATTGAAAAATGTCAAAAATCTGGATCCACGCCATAGTACTCTGGTAGAAAATGCCTATTACTTGTGCAAACCACCTGAACGTTCTGCACGAGTTACTAAAGTCCGTCCTCCGTTACATCAGGTTTGGCAATTTTGTACTATTTGAATTCTCTGCTTATTTCTTCATTTACTATGAACTAGCTATTTTGACATATATTTCTCTCTTACAGTATATCAGGAAACTAATTTTCTCAGATCTTGATAAGTCCACTGTTGAGCATGTTCTTCGGCAACTGCGGAAGCTACCTTGGTCTGAATGTGACTCGTATATCTTAAAGTGCTTTTTGAAGGTGCACAAGGGAAAATACAGCCAAGTGCATCTTATTGCTTTACTCACCGCAGGGCTTGCTCGTTACCATGATGAATTTGCGGTTGCACTTGTTGACGAGGTCAGTTTCTTAAGGACCTGAAATCATATAGCTGAAGAATCTATGGAAAAAAATATATATATAATTCTTTCTTAGATCCACTGTATTGCCTATACTCTTTTTAAAGCAGCTTTTCCTGCTCAATTCTGAATGTCAACTGGATTATATTTGCATTACATGAAGCTGTTTAGATACTTGATTGTTTGGCTTTCATTTAGTTGCCATCTACTCTTTCAGTAACCTCATGCTTTCTCTGAGTTATCGAAAAGCTTAAACCTGTTCAATTCAAGGCATTTGCTATTGAAGCAATATAAATATTCACATCCATTAGAAGCAATATAAATAAGCAACATAACTAAAGAAAACTATCTTATAGTATTGATAGAAAAGGAAATGATACCATGTATGTCTTTATGCGTAGAGGCCAAAGTACCATTTAATCTAGTTAAAAATATAAATATTTTGCCTAGGTAAACTTCCTAATGGATTAAGAGAGAGACCATGGGTTTTGCTAATAATTTGTTTTTCTACAAGTAATTTAGAATGTTGCAATGTGAATAAATGAGTGAATGTGCCTTGTTTGATTGTTTTTGAGTGAGAAATAGAAACTCAGATAGGTATAGTGATTTCTATGCTTGATATAGAATGAAAATTGACTCTTGGGTGAATGGCTCTCTGAAAGGAAGATATGGGAATAGGGATCCATATGATTTTGAGATATGTGGGAGAGGTAATTGTGTCTTTTTTTTTTTTTGACACATTAGTATATGTTATTTGGTACTGAAATAAGCGAGGTCGGGTTCAAACTTTGGTTCAAAATTAAGTTGGCAAGCGAGTAAGCTAGTTCAATTGAACCAACTAACGTAGTTACCCTAACACTAACCCCATCCCCCTCGGTGTGCACCTGAAAGCGAAACTACGATCGAAATAAAGTTTCGATTTGAAAGTTCGATCGAAAAATACGTATCAGAAATGCGTTTAAATTAGAATGTGAGTTAGGGTAGTGAGCAACTAAATCAGTTAGTAATAGCAAGGAAAAGCATAAAGAGAAATGCAAACCAGATTTATAGTGGCTCGATCGTCCTGACCTACGTTCACTCTCGATTCATCTTCCCTCGAGGCCACCGACTTTCACTATCGATCTTTTTTTCAATGGGCGAGGCAACTACCCTTGTTACAACTTTCTTCTTTTCACAGGCTTAGGAGAGAACCTTTACACATCTATTTTACAAGAAGACCTCACACCTTTAGAATGACTTCTAAACCAAAGGAAGAAGAGACTCAACACTTTTCAAGAAAGTTTACACTTAAAATCACAAGTGTTCGTGCTCTTTTCTTGCTTCATCAAGCAAGCATGGGTGGGGTATTTATTGACCCCAAATGGTTTCAAAAATGAAACTAAAAATTCAAATCTTCAGGTTTTCAAGGTACTGGCGGTACTACCGCCTGCGCCGGGCAGGACTACCGCCTGACAGAGCTAGGAACTTGGGCTCTTATGGTACCATCGCCTGCCTAGGTGGTACTATCGCCTGATAGCTTGGGAACTCGAGCTCTGGCGGTACCATCGCCTGCCTGGGTGGTACTATCGCTTGATAGCCTGGGAATCCGAGCTTTAGCAGTACCATCGCTTAGCCCAACCCCAAGTTATTGAATTGGCCTTCCAACAGTCTCAATTCAGCTTTGGTTGAGGTTTAATAGACTCCTAATCAAGTTGGCATGGTTATGCCCTAAAACCAACTCAATTAGATTCTAAATGACTTTGATCAAGACTCAACAACTCTAATTATAATCATAAAGCCTTCAACACGTTGTCTGACATGTTATTTGTTTATCTGGCACTTCGTTCGAACCTCTGACGCATCGTCCTTTCCTTCGGCGTATTGCCCGATCCATTGGCATGTTGACCTCTCGCAGCATTTGATCTTCTTGGCGCAATACTTGATCCTTCTGGCCCAACACCCGAACTCATGGCACGAAGTCCATCCTTCGGCATGTCGATCAATCCTCCGGCCCGACATCCAATCTTTGACGTAATGCTCTTCGGTCCAACATCTGATTCTCCTGCTTCAGCGATTTGCCTTTCGATGGTTCAAGTCCATGATCGAAGTTTCTCCTGCGTCAATTATCTCAAACGCTTATTAGTCCATAAACTCATCAATTGATTTCATCATCAAAATTCAGGATTCAACAATTGTTTTATCCATTGCCCCTCCTTCCCCATCTTCCTCCACAACCATCGGTTACTCCTCTTCTCAATTCCCACTTTAGAACTTTTTAGCACTATATTGATCCACTCTTTAGAATTGTTTAGTATTGGTTAGAATTGTGAAGTATCATATTGATCCACTCTTTAGAACTGTTTAGCACTGGTTGGAAACTTGTTTAGCATAGGTCTCTATCATTTTTATTTTTGTGATCATATTTACTAATTGTAATATATTTTTTGAAATTTAATATTCAAGAGCGCCTCGCTTCGCTTGGGCCATCACTTAGCACTTCGGGTGTTTTGGGACCTTGGCTCCTAGCCCAACAATGCTTTTTAAAAATTAATATTTAAGAGTGCATTGCTTTGCTCGAGCGAGTGCATAGCACTGTTTTAGGACCTTGGTGCCTAGCTCAACAACGCTTTTAAAGACACTGATCTAGGTAAATTTAAGAGGGTTTAACATTACTGACATGGTCTGACAATTTTTCTTGGATTTTATCAATATTTATAGTAATGCATGTCTTTGTGCACATGAATATATTACATATATATTTACATATACATACAGTCACATGTACATGTATGCATGAACATATACATACAAATACACACATACATATGCACATTCATGCTATATATATATATATATATATATATATATATATATATATATATATATCTATACACACTGTGCTTTTATTGTTCATATTAGCTAGTTAAAAAGGTTTATGTTACTTGTTTCTGTAAAAGACTTGCATTTTGGAATTCTTATCAATTGATTATAAATCAATTAATTTCGTGCTCTAAAGACAGTTCCATGAACATGACGATATCTTGTCTCTCTGGTTCTTTAGCACTTAGGTATCACCTAATGTAGGTGGGATCTTATTCTGCGGTGGGATCTTATTCTGCTTTCTGATTTATATAATTTTTTATGTATGTATGTGTGTGTGTGTGTGTGTGTGTGTGATGCATTTTAATTAGCTTTGATGAATACTTTAGAAGTTGCTAACCATACTGTTTCAACTATTTTAGGTACTAGAGGAAATTAGATTGGGTTTGGAGTTGAATGATTATGAGATGCAGCAACGGCGGCTTGCACATATGAGGTTGCTAGGAGAGCTATACAATTATGAGCATATTGATTCTTCAGTAGTCTTTGAAACACTTTACTTGATTATTGCTTTTGGGCATGGAACACCAGAAGTAAGTATCATTATCAAAATTACTGTTTGGTTATTATGCTTTTTTACTATCTTTGCATTAAGATATCTAGTGATGTTTGTAGAAAATTTTTGGTAGAAAGATTGAGAAAGCATTTCTTGATAGATAAAAATATGAACATGGTCAACTGCTTGAATCATGAAATACATTTTATTACTTTAAGCAAAAATTGAATGCAACTAAGTTATAGAATAATTAACTCAGTTTTGATTGGGCCATGCTTGGGTTGGAAGAACTCGTAGACACTTTTATGTGGCTACTTGCAGCTACTAGTATACCAGCCCATTGGTGATTAAGAATTGGACAGGTTGGTTCAGGTTGTCTTTGTTTAGGGAGATTGATAAAAGAGGGAGGGCCTTGGCAAGGCTCCTTACTGTGGTTGTGATATTGGGTCTATGTGAATTATATATAGAAAGAGAGAGGGGTGGTGTACATCCAATTATACTTGCCATCATTCCTGCCAGCAGCCATGGTAACTTGGAGACTTGAACAGCAGTGTAGGTGGATGTTGAGATCCATCACGTGAAAGAAGGAATGGTCCTATTGGTGATTTAACTTTTTAAAGCCATTTTTATGTGTAATGTTAAGGTTCTCCAACCTCTCAATATAGACCTACCAAAGTTTACATGTAGATATTTTGGCAGGACCTGTTTTGAAATTTTGTAGATTTTGATTATATCCCGATTGGATCAAGGTGGTCCATCCTAGTTGTAGCAATATTAGTCATCGTGTAGCTGTTGGTAGGCTAACACCTTTTTATGCATCGTCTCACTTTTGATGCTACCTTTCTTTTGTTGATCATCGGAACTGAAGGTTGAAAAAGACAATTTAATTGTGTTTGGAATTTAGACTCAAATTGTGCTGACTTCAATCTATTTTACCTGACTTAACTAGCATAAGCCAATTCTGTCCACTATGATTGAGATTATCATTGTGACAACTGCCAGCTTTTCTAAGCCTATCCGGACCAAATGGCATAACAAGTAGGATGTAGAAGTCATTGTTCTGTCATTCATTTTGATGCATGTGACTGACTTGTATTTATTAAGCATAGCATGAATGCATGTCTCGAATATTTATGTTCAAAGAATGACTTTTATATAACATCTTGATACAAACATATGGTATAATCTTGGTTATGAATTTGTGGTAGGTCTAGTAAGTTATATCTGTATTGTGAGTTACAAAATTCAAGACAAATTCAACTGTACTGTCAAATAATTCAAAGAAAAAAAACCAAGTTTGAAGATTGTTGTACTCTAATCACTGAGAAATACAGTGCATAAGTTGCATGAATCTGTTGCAGAAAGGCTTAAGATAACTTTTCCTACTTGTGCATGCATATGATACCTGGTTTTGCATCATCTTAGCATGTTAAACCTGCAGGATTCATTTTCGAAAAAAAAAGGGGAGTTAGAGTCTTACTTCTTTTTTGTTGTCAGCAAGATGTCCTGGATCCACCAGAAGATTGTTTCCGGATCAGATTGGTGATAACACTTCTTCAGACGTGTGGTCATTATTTTGATAGAGGTTCTTCGAAGAGAAAGCTTGACAGGTTCTTAGTATATTTCCAACAATATGTTCTCAGCAAAGGTCCAATACCACTTGATGTTGAGTTTGACATTCAGGTTAGTCAAGATGTCATTACTTAACAACTAGTCATTTATTTTGGGATAAGTGTTATGGATTTCTACCCTTTCAGAAGCCTTCATCGTATCTCCTGTCAGGTTAATATTGAAGATATGCACAAGAAATTTAGACACTTTAAACTATGGGAAATTTGTCCATGAAAAAATGATGCACTACTGTTTCTCCTTCAGAAAATCTGGATAGTCACTAGCTCCACTACTAGCTCCTGATTAGTTCTTGCAGAGAGAGTGTTTATCTCGATTCCTCAGACGGCATAATTTAACAAACAATTCTTATTAACTTCGACATGCTTGCAGGATACTTTTGCAGATTTACGACCAAATATGACTAGGTACTCTTCAATTGAGGAAGTTAATGCAGCACTTCTTGAACTTGAGGAAAATGAGCGCACAGCCTCAACTGAGAAGACCAGCAATGATAAGCACTCAGATGGTGAATCTCAAAAAGGTCAATCTCATACAATGGCATCTACCATCACAGCCAATGGAAAAAGCACCACAAATGGAATTGAGGAGAATGGTAGGGTTCATGAAGAGGCTGGAGACAGTGAGAGTTACTCAGATAGTGGTAGTGTTTATCAGGAGGGGCATGAAGATGAGGAAGAGCCTTTGTATGAAGACAAATCAGATGATGGGTCAGACGGTGATGAGGATGATGACGATGATGAGGGTCCAGTTGGTTCTGATGAGGAAGACAGTGTTCTGGTCAGGCAGAAGATGGTGAAGGTTGATCCCAAGGAGGAAGAGGACTTTGAGCGGGAGATGAAGGCTCTGATGCAGGAGAGCTTGGAGTCACGCAAGCTAGAATTACGGTCTAGGCCTACCTTGAACATGATGATACCAATGAATGTTTTTGAAGGTTCCAAGGATCCAAGGTTTGTTGAAGGGGAGAGTGGCGAAGAAACAGTTGACGAGGAGGGTGGCAGTGGAGGACAGAACAGGGTGCGAGTAAAGGTGCTGATGAAGAGAGGGAACAAGCAGCAAACAAAGCAAATGTACATCCCTCGGGATTGCTCCCTTGTGCATAGCACAAAGCAGCAGGAGGCTGCCGAGGTTGAGGAGAAGCTGGAAATCAAGAAGAGGATCCTGGAGTACAATGAGAGGGAAGAGGAGGAACTAAGTGGTGCATCGTCACAAGCTGGGAACTGGATGCCTGCTGGAAACAGTGGCAGCAATAGGCCTGCAGGCCGTGGAAATTGGGATGGCACGAGAACGGGTGGGCGACCACGGCAGAATTCTTCGAGCGGGTACTATCATAGTTATGGTAGGAGGAGATGAGTGGATGGTGTTGGTCTGGTTGATTTTACACAAGTGACCTTGGATGGTGAGTGAAGATGAGTGGATGGTGGCAGTGCGATTGATCTTTACACAAGGGTTCTTCTTGGATGGTGAGCGAGTGAAGCTCGGCGCAGTCTTTGGTGTTCAATGAGGGTCTCCCAAATGCAAGCAAGGAAGCATGGGTCTGCATGTGACTCGATGCATGTAGATGTATAGGTGTGCTCGTGTATAAAGAAGGCGCTAGGATGATGCTGTCATGGAGTTTAATGGTTCTGCAGGTATATGGATATGTTTAAAAAAATTGATTCGAGAATGTGCTTGTGCTGTCATTTCCTTTTTCTTCTCTGTAGCGACTCTTGAAAGCTATTCTGTTTTTACCTCGCTTGCGTGCGGAAGTAAATGCCAGAGTTATATTAATAGTTTTTGTTATTGTTGGAGGGGGATATGTTACATGGAAGATAAAATAAAAGTTGAGATAAGTTGTTCAAAGGTTTGGATGCGTAGGATATGACTAACGACAATTGTGAATCATACATATATCAGGTTGCTGTAGTTAGAACAGTCATTATTTGATGTATTTTCAAAATTTTGTTTCTAGGATCAAAGCGTGCGGCGAAAGGGAAGGAAAAAGGCGGTGCCTTGAGTTGTTAAGAATATTTTTAGGCTTTTATATCCGCAAGCAGTAGTGGTTCACGGAGTTCATGCGTTGAATGCTGATGGAGGAGGTAACATGTGGAAGGGTTTAAATAAGTATTTTTAAGGTTTTTGAGTACTAATGCTAAAATTTGCATAATATGAAACGTATTTTAGATAGTCGAAATATTTATTCCAATCAGAATTTTACACATGACAACTTACCTCACCTTGATTTTTGTTTTAATAGTCGAAAGGTTTGAATATTCTCATTCTTACCTCACCTGATTTGAGTTTTGAGTGTGGTATAAACTTGAATACTAAAGGACCACGAGTCCTAACATCAGTTGGATCGCATTGGAGTTGTCAAGTCGACTACTGACACTCTTTCCCTATGGAGCTCCATCAAATTCAACAATGAGGAATTGAAAGAAGAATAAATGTGGTTTAATCAAATCCAACGTCAAACATGCCAAGCTTCAGAAGATGCTCCATCAAGCCCGATTGATCGTACATGGGACCCATCCATGATCATTACAAATCATAAATCAAAAAACCACAAAAAGAACGATTCTACCCGACCCGCTAATGTATTTTTTAGTTCCGAGAACTCCTCCTTCCTTGATTCGATCAACTCCGCCGCAGTCTTCAGAGAGCGACGGCGACCACCAGAGCCGCAGATAGAGCGCCGATGGCGGCGAGTGGCGCCACCGCTCCGCTGTTCGACGAATCCGTCGTGGGGCTGTCTGCCTCCACCGGCGCTGCGGCAAGGGACGGCGCCGGGGGGCTGCCCAGGCTTGGAGCCTCAGCTTCCGAAATGCCATTGTCGTCCCGGTCGGCATCGGGGGCCAGCGCACCGGGGGCGGATGCGAAGGGCGACGACGCGGGTGAAGTGGCCATCGGAGTGGTAGCCTTCGTGGGGGCGGTGGCTGCAGAGACGGGGCCAGAGACTGAGGCGCTGGTGGGGGATTTCGCCGGAGAATGGGTCGGTGCCAAGGTGTCGGGCTCGGGCGCCGGGGCCTCGGCGGCTGCGGATGATCCCGCCGCGGCCAGGAGGACGACGACGAACGCGGTGGCGCGATACATTTTCCGGCAAGATCGAGGAGAGACAGAGAGAGGAGGAAGGGAACGAGGGCTTGTGGGGTCGGGAATTGCCGCGATGGGTGGTTCGGAGGGGTTGATAGGATTCTATTTATATAGTGGTGGGGAGTTGGTCTGGGCGGAGGAGGAGGCGCGGGGTCGCCGGTGCGCCGGCAACGTGTCCACGGAGGTGGCGCGTTGCCGCTGTTTAGACGAGGGCTTAACCGGAGCCGTTGATTACTTTTGCTGACCCTTTGATGGGCTCCACCGTGGGGTCGTCCTTCCATTGAACAACTTGGCTTGCGAGCGTGTTACATTCGGTCAACCGACACCCACGTGTGACGTGAGAGAAGAACCCAGTTAACAAGGTGGCCAACCATGAAGTGAGTATAATTTTCGAGCTATCATGTAGTGAGTGTGTTTAAGACGCAGAATATTTTCGTCATGAAGATGTCACGCCCGTGGTGCGCCCTCCACGTAAGAATTTCAAGTAAAGCAGATTACAATCCATATTGCGTCGAATCGGGCAGGTGCGCCATCACCGCTCGCTCGCAGGTCCAATACCAGATCCCCCCGGGGACCCAACAAGATCGGAAATCGGAAGTCTCGGCGGAGCCAGGGAACGCCACGCCCCTATGCTGGGGTCCAACGACCGAGTGAAGCGCGACCCGCCTTATCTGTGAGAGCACAATAGTTCTCCCTATATTCGTTGAGACAGGCGATGGACGATAGCTCGAATGGGATCGCTTCACTGTTCCAACAACAACAACAGGATAAGCTATTTCACTTTCTCTTTACTACATGATGATGATGCTTCCTCACTTCCCCTCTCCCTCTAATTTTATGGTTGTCAGCATTGTAATAGCCACCAATGAGTTCTAAAGATCTGAATTAATCATCTCTTAATATATGATCAACAAAAATTGCAAGTTTCTTCTCTGCTTCTGGCATATTGTTGTGTTTTCTTGAGATCATGTTGTGAGAAAGAAATTGTTAGGCATTAAAGTGCATATTGATGATTTCACTTCTCATATTGCAAAGCATGAAGTGTTTCAAAGAACATTTCCTGTGATGCATCACTTAAGGTGTGCAATCTTTCTCATGGCTTCTCTTTTCGGAGATTGATCTTTGAAAGTTTTGCAAGTCTAAGATGCTGAGAGGGAATTATGTTGCATGCTGCAGGAAAACTAGTTTTGTTTCCTGTTCATAATGATCATTGTTGGATGTACTGGAAATGAAACAAAGATTAGTTCTCTAACTTTGATGCAATAAAGATTAGACAGCACATCAGTAACAAGTGAAAAGAAAAAAGATCATCTTAAGGTAATATTTTTTGTCTTAGGTCTCTAATTTTGTGCCTTTTCACCTCTGTTTTTACAGTCAATTAGCAGTTCAGCTTGATGTATCTTACTGTTGTAGTCCCTTTTGCCACATTTCACTGCAGAATATATTAATATGACAATGTTCTCAAGCTTTATTGTCAATGGATCCCACTGGCCATGACTGCAATGCAAGCTGTGGATGCAGCACATTCTGTGGTCATCACTGCATGATCTCAGTTACAACATGGGCCAATGATGACACTTTCTCATGGAAGAAGGTGCACATTAATCTGTGTTGATCACATTGCATCTCCTTGTCACAGGACAGAGATGAAGACAACATGGTATTCTCTAACTCTTTCTCCATCTTAGCTAGCTGTTCCTCACATTCTCTTCTTAATGGTGGGACACCGCAATCAAAGGTTGGGGACCTTTCCACCTACCTTCCAAGTGCATGAACACAGCCACTGCCACAGTTGATGATGTGATCAATGATTGACTTGCCCACTCGATGATGTTTGTTTCAGTGTTGCCTACTTTATTCTCTCTTTGTTATCAAGTCATGGGGATTGAGTTGGACAAGTATGGTATGCTCTAAATCCTTTTATTAGATCTACAAGGTTGGTGGTGATCCTCTTTTGGTGTGCCAATGAAGGTGTCTGTCTACTTGCTGAAAACTTGTATGCCAGATTGATGTGGCTAATTTGGAACAGTTGACAGCTTTGAATGCCATCAAATTGTGTTTTGGAGACATTAAGATCCAATTCTTCTTCCTGATTTGATGCTGTTTTACAACTTGAAATATTGATGACTTCTTCCTCATATAAAAAAGACTGTAATCCTTTCATCATCTCTCTTTCTGAAGAAAAAGTCTCTCACATTTTTTTTGAATCTAAGCTTCTCAACCCAACAACAACATTCTTTATATGTTTCTTGGTATTTCCAAGTAATCCTTCTTGAGAAAGAAGCTAAAAAAATAAGCAACATAACTCAAAAAATTCTTCTTCTTATTTCCTCCCCTCACATTGAACCTTAATTTAATGAAGCTTCCTCCTTCACTTGACCACCATTATTGATACAACCACAAATACCTGCAACCAAGCTTTCAAATCAAATCTTCAACATCAAAACAAAGAACAAAGACACTCAAAATTAAAGTAAAATAAAATTGACCTAATTATTCAAGTCAACCATTGTAAGTCCTGCAAACACACCCATAAATAAGCTTGTAGAATATCACTAAGCCGTACTAGCACAGAACACAATAACCGTAGTAGTAGTCTCTTTGGTTGACCTTCTTTGAATGCGTGCACAGTGTGAGACTTCTTCTCCACCCCCGAATGAGACCATTGGAAAGTGCTCAGCCTGCAATGGCCACTCGCCACCGGGTGGAGTGATCAATCATTGGGGTGTCTCAATCACGATCATCGACTGCCACCCATGCGAGGAGACCAAAGGTGGGTGGAGAGGATGTCACGTCTTATGTTGGCATAGCAAAGAGTTGGTTGAAGCTGGCGATTCCATTGGTAAAATGAAGAATGAGATGAACAACAATTTGGTAACATTATGATATTAATTTAAGCTTAAATAGTTTTTTGATACATAAAATATCGATCGAAAATTATTATTTAAGGGATGAGGGGGCACACAAAGATTTACCTATGTGAAAAGATTGATTCATCTAAATTGATACGAGGGTCAATTGAATTGCTATAATCCATATTGTATATTTAAAATAAATTGATTTACTTCTCTCCTTAGTCTACCGAGGTAAAAATGTAAAACTACCATCAACAATTCATAAAATTGCTATGAGGTATGTAAATGTCATGTAATATAATTTTACTTTTTATCAAATAAATTAGGTATGAATATATTCTAAGAATATCTAGCGGTTAGATAAGGTTAATACAATTTGGTAGAGTAATGTGAGAGATAGAAAGACTTTGTTAGAATGTACAAGTGGAGATTAAGCTTACTATATGATTTTGCACACAACTCAATGATATATATATATATATATATATATATATATATATATATATATAT